CAAAAATGCATGATTAAAATTCAGCCTGATGTGAGAACTTTTCAAAGAAGTCTGTATGGGTGCACCAGAATTCCTGGTGGGAGTGAGGGAGAATGGTGAAGGGGTAAGGAGGGAGTCTGGGAAAGGCTGCCCTTCAAAACACTCAGGATGCTTATGTGTCTGTCTTCCTTCCATGAGGACGGAGACCCTGTCTCTTTCCCTAGAGTCTTGTTGAATGGGTGTTTGGCTGGGTGGGTGGCTGGGTGAGTGGGTGGATGGATGGACAGAGAGATGGACAGACAGGTAGGTGACAACCCTCAGTTAATCAGATCCTTGCTCAATTCCCATTTCCCAGGAAATTCTAGCTATTTTGATTCCTAAGTTGGTGGAGCTCACCCTTTCTGGTCAGACCTCTTTATGTTGGCTTTCCACTTTCTAGCCATAGCAGCAAATGGAGTGGCCAGGAAGAGGTGGTGCACCTCAAACTTGCCTGCCTTACTCCTCAGGGCAGGTGGGCCTGGGCAGCAAGGAGACCACGAAGAACTGACTCACAGCAGTGAGACTCGAGAGTAAGAGAGCGCCCTTGGCTATGTCCTCCCCTCCTTCCTGTTTGACTGAGAGCCCAGAAAGCTGGTCTGTGGCACAATGGTGCATGAGATCAGACTCGAGCTTGCGGAACGAAGGGGCCCAGACAGCCAGGTTATACCTACAATCCGTGGTGGTCTTGAAGTCTCTCTGATGGCCCATTTCCCCCTTTCCTTCCCCTGGGGAAGAAAAATATGAAGATATTTTCTGGAGGTGAGACAGGGTGGAGGAAGAGTTGAGTATGCAGTCACTTGTGCCACTAGACTGATAACATCAGCATCAGCCTTTTAACACCGGAGGGTGGTAGTCATGGCAACCCCTGAACCAAGGAGCAGGCCCCTTTTTGGCCACTGTCTGCAACACAAAGCCCTTGTCAGCTTTTGCAAGCTGGTAAAAAGCACACTCGCGGGAGAGGCAATGATGGAAAGGCTCTCACACAGCCATCCCCAGATGCGAGACAACTGGCCGCAGGGCCCCATGGGTGCCAAAATCCACGGAGGCTCAAGTTCCTCCTGTGAAATGGGGTGGCGCTGGCGTATGACCTCCCACTCCTCCTACACACTTCAGACATCTCTGCGCTACCTGTAATGCCTAAAACAATGTGAGTGCTCCATAGACAGACACGGTACTGCATAGGAGATGGCGATGTTTAGTATAGATGCAATTCTTTTCAGAATTTTTGACTTGCGTTGGTTGAATCCATGGTGCAGAACCTGCAGACATAGAGAGCTGACTATAGAGAAGAAATTTAAAATCACATGAAGGCAAATTCCTTCCTCTGGCTTTGAATGATCCAGTGAGCTGAAACCTTAGGGTCCACTCATGTCCCCGCTCCATCTGCCAAAGTTGCAGCCAGGAGCTGCTCCGGCAGCGGCAAGGGGTGGCTGACGGTGAGCGGGCAGCTGCCGCAGGGCCTTTGTCTATCATCTGTCCCTTCTGGAGATGCCATAGCCGAGGCCCCCATCAGTATAAGGCGGCTCCTTGCAGAGGGGGCAGGGGGAGCACACCCCAGGGTGTCAGGGGCCGGGTGTGTGCAAGGCTTCCCAGATGTAGCTGTCAGATCTGCTGCTAACTCGAGCCAGCCTGCCCATCCACCGGACTCTAACAGCAGCACAGATGGTGAGAAAGAAACCACGTCCTCCTGAGTCAGAGGCCCTGCTGTGGCAGTCCAACCTCTGGGAAGAAAGTGAAGGCTTCCTAAATCGACTTAAAAGGGCAAAATAATAAAGGACCCGCTGGCAGCTGACTGGCATTTCTCCTCTGCACCTGGCTTCAGGCCAGAGCCATGCAGAAGCTCTGGGGAGGCCTCACCACCGAGGCCCCTGTGGGCACAGCTTCCAGAGGACCCCTGGGGACACAAGCCACAGGCTGGCAGTGTCATGGCCAGGCAAGGCAGGAAGTACAGAGAGGTCGGGTAACTGGACCAAAGACACACAGCCGGACACAACAGGCTCAGACTGGAACCCAGGACTGCTGAAGGCCAAGCAGCAGAGGACCACAGCAATTGTTCAAGCAAAGCGAACACCCAGACTGCTCAGGAAGCCAAATTAGACCCTGGAAACCAGACATCGAGGCCCGCTGGCATCTCCTAGGCGACCCTGGGGCAGGGACATCACATCACAACGCCAGGCACCTTGGGTCCCTTGCAGGCAGGAGTTACTTCGCATTTAACAGATGGGGAAGCCGGGTCTGCCCAAGACCACACAGACACCGAGGGGAAATTCCAAGATGGTCGTTTTCCCTTCCGCCCCCAGAGTCTGGGCCTGGTCCATCGTGACACTGGCTTTTCTCAAGAGAAGGGAGAAGGCGCTGAGTGTCCTCACCGATTTTAAATAGCCATGCACTCGGACACTACTATAAAGCACCTTCTTGGCAACAGGCTTGGAGAGAGGCGGACGCGTGAACAGGCTGGGTGGGAGCTCTGGAGGGAGAGGTGTTTGGACTGGGTGGGGTTATGTGTGTGTTTTCTTTGTGTCTTTTCCTGGCATTTACTGCAGACCCAGAATTCTCCTAGAAGGCCTGGCTAACGGAATAAGGCCTGTTTCTTCCAAACATTAGAACCGAAAGATTTATCCAAGTTGGCCGGACACTTGGCAGGGCTGGATTGCAGGAGGTCTAATTAGTCAGGGAATGGAGGGGAAATCCAAGATGCCTGCTGGGGCAGGGCTATGTTCACTCACTACCTTCTACCTTTGGCTTGCTCAACAGCTGGAAGAGAAATAATACAGGCACTGCAGAGCAAGGAGGAAGTTCTTTTCCCCTTTGTGCTGGCTTCCAAGGGCCTCAGTTCAGTTCCCAACCCAAAACTAACTTTTGCTCTGAAATACAAGCAATTTGTACAAGGTCTAACTGAAAAATATGGTGAATGTTTAAATAGTTTTGAATTATTACAATAAAAGATACATTGCCGTTAATCCCCTCAAGATACTCCGCACTCAGTTCCAACGCGCTTCTTCTTCATTCTTGCCCCTTTCTGGAGTCCTCTTTGTGAGTGTCTTCACTTGTGCTGTCATGGCTGCCTCAGCTTCTTGAATCAATTCAAAAAGTTTACCTTTCATGCTCATTTTGACTTTGGGGAGGAGCCAGAAGTTGCACGGTGTCAGATCCAGGGGATAAGGTGGATGAGGACACACTGCAATGCTCTACCAACCAGGCTGCCTTCCCGCTGGATGCTGCACTCCGCAGCAACACTCACTGTGTTTTTGATCACACCTTGTAAAGGCACTGGTGAAAGAGGACAGTGAGAACTGCTTCCGGAAGGGGCAAGCATAGTGGGATAAGAATGTTGGGAGTAGGCAGGACTTAGAGGGGCTTGATGGCAATGTGTCTTTTAATGTCACCAGTCTTTTAAACTCAAACTTTCACACGTAGTTTGAACACAGGAGTTCGCTTTGCACGTCACCTCATTGGCTTTGGTTCAGATGAAGAACAGGCAGGGCCGCAGGGCACCATCTGGCCTGCGGTCCCCACAGCAGCTGCCGGCTGCAGCCCCGCACACCTGCACGGAGGGCTGGAGGAGGCGCCCACGGAGCTCCCGGCCTCCCGCTGTCTTTCCTCCCAGCTCGCCAGGAACACACCTAGTGCACTCACTAGTGCCAGGCGCGGTGCTGGGCGGGCACAGGGACAGCTAAGCCCAGATCCCTGTGTCCAGCAACTCTCAGGGAGCAGCACAGACAGTAACCCGAATGGCGGGTCCGAGGTGGGAATCAGAGTGTGCAGAGAGGACAGGAGCCACAGGAGAGCGAGGAAGGAGCCACCGAGAGGGCTGAGGAGCCACGAAGGTGGAGGGCAGGGTGGTGAGGAGGAGTGGTGTGCAGTGAGGGCCTCACCACTGGCCTGCCGGCAGCAGGGCCCTAGCACACAGCTCCGGTCTCCTGCTCAGGCTGCTTCGCCCTGCACCTTCGACCCGCCCTTAGTTCCAGCCCTCCTTTCCTAACTCCGCCCAGTGACAGGCTCGGGCATGACCCTGAGCCATCAGAGGACTTGAGGGGGGCGAGTCTGACTTTCCTTCCCCAGGTGATAACAGGGTGGAGGTTCCAGAGGGAGGGAAACCAGGGGCAAGGGAGAAAACCGTCACAAGAGGCCGTTACAGTAGTCTGCAAGACACAACGGACACGAGAAGAGAAAGCCAGGCCCCTGCCACCCATGCCTAGACATGGGGGTCAGAGCCGCACCCGCTGGGCCCTTTCACACCCCCGCAGCTCCAAGCCCCCCCCCCAGGCACAGCACCGGAGGCTGTCTTCTACCCCACCACGTCACCCTCACCGTTCTCCACTCCACCCCCCCTTCTTTTTTCTCCTCTTCTTCCTCCTCTTTCTCTCGCCAGGGAGAGAGAGAAAACCTGACTGACAAGAGAAATGGACAAGGTGGAAGGGGAGGCCTGAACTCTAAGAGAAACTAGCTGTCAAGCAGTCAGCACTGCAGGAGAGGCAGCGTGACAGACTGGGGCTCAGTCACCCCAAGTAGAAGCTCCCAGGAGAGGAGCCCCACACAGGGCTGGAAAGCCAGGGTGCCGCATAATGGTTAAGAACAACAACGGTGTTTGTCCTGGATTCCATCACCTTGGAGCTGAGAGGAGGAAAGCACAGCGCTCTCTGGGATCCAGCCAGGCGGATGATGGAAAACAGATTCCCCAGACACCTGGGCACAAGCCCCATGACCTTCTCCATGGCCCAGCACAATCTCCACTGATGCTGCCCAGGGTGCAGCAACCCGTTCTGATTCACCTGGAGCTCCCAGGCACTCTTAGGACAGGGACTCAAGTGGGCAGCAAAGCCTTGCCTAGAGAAGCCATTCCTCCGATCTATTTACGCCGTTGTAAACACTTGCCAAAGAAACAAGGCACGTGGGCATGCGCCAGCCCAGCAGGCCCTCAGACGGCTGCAAAAGGCAACTGGAAAGTCACATGTCCTAACAGTGGAAAGTACATACGCAGCTATTCTTAGCCCTGGAATGTATACACTGTCTCCCTGCCCAGCGGCCCCTGCACAGAGCTCTAGAAAACTGTGACAATGCCTTCAGCATAAACAAATTGAGAACTCTCCCAGGACAAGTCATTTTCAACCGAAGGAAAGGCCTGGGGTTTATGGTTTCACTCAGAGCTAGAGGTGGAAACTTTCTGGGAGAACAAGACAGCCCGGGCATCAGTGGATGTCACCGCAGCAAAGCAAGGTAAATCCTCCTCACGCTCCATTCTGCAGGTAGGCAGTCGGAGCCCCCAGCATGGTCAGTCATGTTTTCGTGGAATGTGGGTGTCACAAATCCCAGTTACGTGTCTGCCATATCTAATATAATCTACCGCATAATTGTGTGTGTACACGTATATATTTCTCCCCCAGAATGTCATGCTTAGGGAATAACTAACACCCAGAAAGAGAGGTTTAGATGAGATTACTAAACAACAGACATTCCAAGAATCTAGAAAACGGCTCACACTTCTGCTGGTCATGTGGGTGGGTGGACCTGATAGAACACTTCAGCCCCTGACCATCAAGTAACTTCTGGTAACTTTGGCTTATTTTTTCCTCACATCAGCTAAGATGCTGGTTTCTCATTACCTTTAAAGAACACGTAATCATACCCAGAAAGACATGTGCTGCCTCTGCAGTCTGGGGTGGGAGGGAGTGGCCTCACTTTCCAACCTTTGCTGTGCAACATCCTCAGCGATCCCACAGGCAGCTGAGTAGGCATAGATGAGCTGGGTTTCAGAGCTGCCCGACTAAGGCCTCCAGGATGAGCTGCTGATGCAGACCTGACCCTTGTCCCCTCCTGGGCTTCCTCCCCTCTCTGCCATAGGATGGATGAGGTGTTGCCAGATGGGCTGCTCTTCAAAGACCACAACTTCTGCTCCGACCTGTTGAGGCAGCTCAACGGCTTAAGACAAAGCAGGATCCTGACTGACGTGTGCATCTGTGCAGGCAGCTGGGAGATTCCCTGCCACCGCAACGTGCTGGCCTCCAGCAGCCCTTACTTCCGGGCCATGTTCTGCAGCAACTTCCGGGAGAGCAGTGAGGCCAAAGTGCAGCTGAAAGGCATTGCCTCGCTGGCCCTGGAGCAGGTGGTGGCCTACGTGTACACGGGGGAGGCACATATCACAGCTGGAAACGTCCTCCCCCTGATGGAGGCAGCCTCCATGCTGCAGTACCCCAGGCTCTTCGAGGCCTGCTCCTCATACCTGCAGGGCCAGCTGGCCCCCAGCAATTGCCTGGGCATGATCAGACTCTCAGAAGTGCTAAGCTGCGAGACCCTCAAGAGGAAAGCCACGGAGGTGGCCCTGACATGCTTCCCAGAGGTGGCCGCGTCAGCTGACCTGAAGGAGCTGCGCGCTTTGGAGTTGAGAGACTACTTGGGAGATGATGGCCTCTGTGGGGAGGAGGAGAAGGTGTTTGAGGCCCTCATGGCTTGGGTCCGACATGACCTCCAGGCCCGGAAGCGCTACCTGCAGGAACTTCTGCAGCAGGTCCGGCTTCAGTACATCCACCCAGCCTTCTTCCATCACTTCATGGCCGGTGACACCCTCCTTCAGTCCTCACCTGCCTGCCGGGACTTCCTGGAAGCAGCCCGGAGGCATGTGTTCTCTGCGTGTGGTGCCAGTGCCCCAGACTGCAGACCCTTGTGGCACGGCCCTCCCAGGAGCTCCTACCAAGACTTCCTGGTCCTCGTGGGTGGGAGGAAGGACAATCAGCAGACCACCAGGGACGTGCTGCTCTACAGTACCCGGACCGGCGAATGGCACAGCCTGGCACAGCTCCCCGCCCGGCTGTACAAGGCCTCGGCAGTGGCCCTGCACCGCAGCATCTACGTGCTGGGTGGCATGGCTGTCAGTGCAGGCCACAGTCCCGTCAGTCGCGCTGTCTACATCTTCTCCTTGAAGCTCAACCGGTGGCACATGGGAGAGCCCCTGCTGGCAGCCCGGTACTCCCACAGCAGCGCCACCCACAGGAACTTTATCTTCGCCATTGGGGGCCTCGGGGACAGGCAGGAGCTCCTGGGCTCCATGGAGAGATACGACAGCGTCCACAATGTCTGGGAGAGAGTGGCCAGCATGCCTGTGGGGGTGCTGCACCCCGCTGTGGCCGTGAAGGACCAAAGGCTCTACCTTTTTGGGGGAGAGGACACCATGCAGAGCCCTGTGCGCCTTATCCAGGTAAATCGCAGGTCCTTCCTGTCACATAAGTGTGTGAGGGTGTGCACACACACATGCCGGCATAGACACATGTAACAAGCACGTGTGCATACCCGTGTGCTCATGTGCGCATGCACGGTCACAAGTACATGCACACATAGGCACAAACGCCTGTATGCACGCATGCACATGTGTGTACCTATGTACACAAGCACGTGTACATTCATGTGCACATGCATGCTCACAAGTACACACATGCACACATACAAATGCCTGTGTGCACACATGCACATGTGTGTACCTATGTACACAAGCACGTGTACATTCATGTGCACATGCATGCTCACAAGTACACACATGCACACACACAAATGCCTGTATGCACACATGCACATGTGTGTACCTATGTACACGAGCATGTGTGCACTCAGGAAAGAATGGAGGGAGGGAAGAAAGAAGGAAGATAATGGTCAGCAAGAATATTTTCAGCTATGAATTCTTCTTGTGTCAGACTAATATTCCCTGTCCGCAAGGAGCTCATCTCCTCTGAGGGGGATAAATCACTGAATGCCAAATAACAAAGTCCACAGGATTTTGGCAGATGCTTCTAAGCCACATCAGTAAAGACTGAAAATTCTGAAGCCTTGCTCCACACCTGGTACCAGGTCCCCTGGAATCTGGCCTCAGATCTGCTGAATCAAGTCTCTCTGTGTGAGCTCTGGCTCCTGTGCTTTGTAAGAGTCTCTGGGGGTCCACGGTGCACCAGGCTGGGAACCCACCTTACGTGACAGAAGGCATTAATTTCCCTGACAAGCTCTCTGAGAAGTGTGACTAAGGAAGACTAAACTTCAGAATGGTGTTTTCCAATTTTATGCAAGTTTCCAGTAATCTTTGCACTCATCCGCTGTTATGAAAAGCCTAAATAATAAGCTTATCTCTATGGGCAATCTAGAAGACCCAGGAGACGAGGTTTGTTCATTTATAAGCCTTATGTTGAGCACCGGCCACTGCTGAGGCCCTGGGGACATAAGAGGGAATGATGAACTGCAATGAACCCTCAAAGAGCTTGCAAGAGGACTTCAGTGCGGATGCCAACTAGAGGGGAGCTCTGAGGGCATGTGGGGGGATCAAAGAGAACGTCAGGGTTCAGGGAACCACAGAAGGAACCTGTGAGGCTGAAGAAAGAAACTGGAGGGAGGAGGGCGGGCGGGTGCTCAGAGAGCACTGGATGGACGCGGGTGGGGGCGGGGAGCCTCTCCGCTAGACGACCCGGCGGTCAGTCATCTGCTGGGGGTCCCTGCACAAGGGACCTTCGCCCGAAGGCCCTGAGCTCAGGGTGGCTGAAAGCAGGCTAGCACAGATGCAGTGCGGACCAGCGAGAGGAGGGCGTGCCAAGGGCAGGACGGGTGCTGGTCCCCGGATCTCACCCCCTCCCCTACTGCCCAGCCCGCCTCCCCCAGACCGCTGCCTCTGAGCTGCTCCGATCAAAATTCTGGAACACTCCTGAGGAATGGGTGTTTGTAGAGATGAGGCTGGTCACACAGGGCTTCTAGGGTTGTCAAGGAACTGGGATTGTAGCCAGGAAGCACATGATGGGCACTCCTTAAAGATCTCATAGGTCAGTGAGGTCAGAGATTTGCATTTTAAGGCGGTCTCTGCGGAAGCCTTCCACAGAGCAGACTGGAGAAGAAAAGGGGGAGAGTTACAGATTCTTTAAGAAGCGGGGCAAGAAGTCTCTGACCAAATAGGCAGGTCCTTAATCTCTCCCGAATTACTGTTCCAGTCCCACTCATTTCCTTGAGCTGAGAGAGACATGTTCTGTTCCCCTTCGAGCGCTGACTGTACCAAAACAGACATGACAAAGTGCTTCTATGTAAAGCTACAGTCCTTCCCTCTTCTGTGACTACTTTTCAAAACAGTATCAACAAATATGCTGATGATTTCACAATGCAAAATTGTCATCCACTTCCTAAGAGTAAAATACAAAGCTCAGAAAAGATTTCAGCTAGCATATCAAGAAGTGCTTAGCACAACCAAACAAGATCTTGAATTCCTTCATAGTGCACACATTGGAAGGAGAAAGAGGTAAAAATATTCATCTGAATGCTTTTCTTACCTACCTAGCACTGGCTTTGTATGGAAATTTTGTTCATTTCAGCATAAGTTAAAGTGAATGCTTGGAGCTACCTGGGCGATTTTTAGGTTTGGGGTCCTAGCTTTCTTCCCAGAGTGGCTCATCTGTTCACTGCAGCCCTGGAGACCCCACTGCAGTGGCGTCACTATGCGGACCGACGTCTGTGTCGCTGTCTACCCAGCCTCCTTCCCACCTCCCTCTGCAGAGGCAGGAGGCAAACCCTTTCTGAGACAGAGCACAGCCTCCCCCCCTGCTCCAAAACCATCACTGCTTCCCTCACTGAGGTCTTTCCAGGTATCGTGAGGACCAACCCGACCGGAAGCTGAGAGGGAACAGAAGGCCAGGAGAGTCACTCGGGTCCCTCTTTCCAAAGAGTGTCACCTATCTGTTCTCGGAGGAAAGCTGAAGGGGTGCAGCCATCATGACTGCCCCTGGCCCTCGCACTCAGCCCCGCAGGCCTCCCCAGCCTGGAGGAAAAGCCTGTTGAATGGCCTGGACAGGGGCCTGAGCCGGTGTGGGCCCCCTGCACCAGCGGCCTCTGCTGCTCCCCACGCTCGGAACGTCCTGAGCCTCTGGTCTAACCCAGCATGGTGAGCCTATGGCACGCATGCTGTGTTTCTTTTAAGGTGAAAGATGTTGATATATGAGCTGTTTTTTCTAAACTAAAACCTCAGTGTTCGGGGTTCATTGCAGCGTTGGCACTCTGCAATAAATACGTGGGTTCTGGGCTGCAGTCTGGGTGCTGGGTCTCTCAAAGGAGACTCTAATCTGAGGGTCAGGGGAAGTACTGTGTCTCCCTCACAAGACAGAGGTCAAACTTATGCTAAAATAGTCTTTGGTCGTATTTGAAATTGTATTGTATATGGAAAGACTTTTCAGCGACAAGTACTGTGCCATTTTTCTCTGTAAATCAATGTTTTTGTTCCTCCTTTTCTCCTGTGAAATCCACCCTGCATCTCTCGTGCCAGATTTTGCCTGTGGTGAGCCAGCATACACTTGATATTTGAGTTTTACACTTCAGACATTCACAGGACATGTTCTAGGGAACTGGGATTTGATCCACTATTTCAGAGGAAGGAGTGTGCCCTCTCTGCCTTGGTCTTTCTTCCTTTCCCTTCTTCCTTTTTTGCTCAGACTCTAATTCTTTTCAGGCATAAACTGTTCAAAAGCCTTCCTTATCTTACCCCGAATTTATTCTTAGCCTCAGGACCCTCTTAGATGCACTGGAACATTTAGAAATTTAAACATGAGCTAGAAAGACAAAATTATCAGAAAAATCATTGATTTTCTAAATACCCAAGTTGCTCCTCTTCCGTTAAAAGTAAAAACCTGTTTCAAGCAATGCGGTGAGTCTTGGCAGCAGTCTTGGCCCACTCTGTGGAAATACAGTCAGTCACTGGTGTCAGCCACACAGAGAGCGGCTTCCTTCTCTCGTTTAATAGTATTTCATTTGTGGAAAGCAAGATAGCTACGTTTTAAGCACTGGAAAGAAGTGGAAAGAAAAAACTCACTCGCGGTTCATCTTCTAGCTGGCGGCTTTTGTATTTCTAAAGATAAGCGACTTCAAATGCAGCGCCGTGTCTCTGTGCCCCCTCAGGTTTACCACCTTTCCAGAAACTCGTGGTTCAAGATGGAGACGAGGATGGTGAAGAACGTGTGCGGCCCGGCGGCCTTGCTTGGGGAGCGGATCGTCATCGTGGGAGGTGAGCCGCAGGCGGGCGGGCGGGACGCGCGGCCCCACTCAGGCACTGCGGCCAACCTGACAGGGCCCTGTGCTCCTCCGGCGGGGCCTCCCTGCCTTCTCTACACGAGGCCAGGATGATGCCTATTCACAGAGTGCCCGCGAGCTGGCGCCTTAGCACTGTCCCAGCCTCATGGTCCGCAAGAAGTGTCCACTAGTGTCAATAACTAACGCATCGTCTCCCAGGAACTGTGCAATGCGGCACAACTAAGAGCTGATTTGCGAGTCAGTGGACTGGGTTCAAATCCTGACTTCACCAGTAACTTGCTCTGTACTCTTCAGCAAGTTATTCATCTCTTTACGCCTCTGCTTGCCTGTTAGTAAAGTGGGGACCGTTAAAGTACCCACCAGATAGAGCTGTTTTGGGGACCCATTCCTGAGTTCTTTGGATCGTTGTGGCTCCAGGATGGGCTTACAAGAGCGGAAAATGCCAACAAGGCTGAGTACACTGCCACTGGAATGAGAGGCTCTCAGCCTACAGCTGGCTTCAGTGCTGCCATCACTTGGGGTTCAGGATGCAGGGACCAGAGTCAGGCAGATGTGCATCCAATCCCAGCTTTGCCACACGCCCAGCCAAGCCAGGAAAGCGCAGCACCCTCGCTTCAGTCCCAGGGCACTTAGTGGTACTGGAGCAGCCCTGCCAGCACTGTCCTCCGGTCCGGGTGAGCTGCACTCGCCCTGCTCCTGTGCTCCTCTGTTTCAGGTTACACACGTAGGATCCTTGCTTATGACCCTCAGTCCAACAAATTTGTCAAATGTGCGGACATGAAAGACCGGCGGATGCACCACGGAGCCGCGGTGATGGGGAACAAGCTATACGTGACGGGCGGGCGGAGGCTGACCACGGACTGCAGCATAGAGGACTCGGCCTCCTTTGACTGCTACGACCCCCAGACGGACACCTGGACATCGCAGGGCCAGCTGCCGCACACGCTCTTTGACCATGCCTGCCTGACTCTCCAGTGTGTGCCCTCCGTGTCCACCCACTCATGAGGTCCACAAGACTTGTCCCAATCAGAGGCTTCCTGTTCCACGGGACAGAAACTCAGCTCCAGAGAGGATGCAGGGACGCTCACAGGTCTGAGGTGCCAGAGCCCAGGAACCTGGGATTCGGCGGCCAGGACTCTGCCACTCTCTGCCTCCTCTCTGGCAGGCTTCCTCCTACACTGAGCTTCTTTGTCTAAAGAATGTGAGGACAATGACAACTGGTAAACCCTAAGCCACAGTCTCGAGCTGTGCACCTTCCTGGAGAGAACTCTGTTCTACTATTACCCACAGATTGATCTCCAGGCCCTTTTTGTCTTTCATGCTTTCTTCCTGAGTCAGTCACTATTGACCAGCAATGGGCTACCATTACTGGCTAACCCTGGATCGTGTCCTGAGGGCAGGGCTGGGGTTGGCTCTTTCGATTGCCAGCCCACCCAAACTGCAAGTTGGCCGGAAACCCTTCCCCAGAGGAAGAAATTCTGGGCTGATAAAAACACATCTGCCCAGAACACCATTGAAATCTGAAACAAGGGGATTGAGGGATCCTAGAGGGCCCCGGACGTGGTTGGTCCAGGGGGCAGTGTGGAACTCTGCCATAACTGCGTTTCTCTGCCATCTATGGATGTAATACATTGAAATTCCAAAGAAGTACTGGAATTTGGTATCCAGTGTTTGCAAAATTATCTTGCACTGCAAGATACAAAAACAGAATAAAGTTTGTTTCTGGTGCCAAGTGATGTTTTTCCTCAGCCCCCAGGGAGCTATAAACCTGCAGAATTAATTTGGATTTTCAGTTTGGTCAGTGTTATGAGAATTGCTCTTCTGGGGAAGCCAACGAATTCCTTCAGTGATTACAGCAGCCACTGCTCCCCCAACACCAGAGCTCACTGTTCCCGTGGCCCCTTTATCTCCAAGGGCCTTGCACACCGGCTCAGGGTGCAGCTCGGAATCAGCCAGACTGCAGCTCACCCTCTCTGGCACCGCAGGCAGCTCTGCTTCACCGGGCAGGATGTTTGGAAACAGGGCCAAGCCCCATTTGAAACAGATGGAAGGAGTTCTCAGAGGTGGGACCCAGCACTCTGGATTTTTGAAAAGCTTCCCAGTTGGTTGTGCTGTGTAAGGTGGAGACCCTCAGGCATGGGCACTGAGCAGCTTCGTGGCTGGTCCCAATCCCTCCCTGTCCTGGCCAGGGCTGTCCAAGCCCAGCAGTGGGTGCCCAGTCCTCACCCCACCAATGGAAGCACCTAGAATGAGCCTCGCTTTCCTGAGCCCGGCTCCAGAGTACTCCTGTGGGGAGCCCCCTCCCCAGCCAGCGCTGGAGGTCTATGTCCTGGGCCTCTCCTTTCTCCCTGGTGTGTGTCCTGGGCACCTCGGCCTCTCATGTGGCCGGTCCAGAGACCTGCCCCAGACTCTGCTCCTCATCCCGCATGCTGCCCCACAGTGCTGGCCACCATATTGCTGCACCCAGTTGTCATTGCGCTCTCTCGGCTCTCAATCCATCTCTCCCCAAATCTGCTTGGAAGGGTAACCGAAGACCCTACAGGGCCCACTCTTGCACCGTCTTCCTGTCCTGCAACAGCACCCAGGGCATAAACCTCATCATTCTACTCTTCTGCTTCATGTTTTAACTCTTTGTAGCCCTATCTTTTGGCTTCCAGGGCCTTTTACCACCCAGCACCTTCCTCTCTCTGGCCTCCTGCATGCCCTGCAGCTGTCTCTGCTACAGCCTTCCTTTGCTGCCCTACACCCTATTCCCACGTGCCTCAGGGCCTTTGCGAGTGTGTTTGCCACTACTCTCCTGACTCTTCACCTGACATAATTTTAGTTTATACCTTACACACTACATTAAAAACCGTGACAAGCCAGGCGTGGTGGTGCACACCTATGATCCCACACTTAGGAGGCTGAGGCAGGAGGATCACTGTGAGTTCAAGACCAGCCTAGGCTGCACAGTGAATTCAAAACCAGCTTGAACTTCAATAGTGAGATCCTGTCTCAAAAAAACCCAAAATAAATAAATACCACCACAAGGAGGCCCCCATGTGCCCCATACCCTAGTTTGGGTCAGCTCTGCCTTTAGATCCCCATTGTCCCCTGTGCTTCTCCTGAGAACCTCACCTCATCTGTACCCAGCTGGTCACTCTCCCTCTGGTGCTGAGGTCTGTCCTGTCCTCTGCACTCCCCGGCTGGCCTCAGCAGCAGCCACGTGAGTGAATTACAGGTCCTCAATAACCCTGGTGCGTGGACTGAAGAACAGGAAGTGAGCAAAGAGCTGAGTCCACGCTGTCCCTGGGGCCCCACTGCAGATGCAGAGCAAAGTGCTGCACTAGCTTAATGCCTCGACCCTGGCCCTCTGCCAGAGCCTCTCCCTTCTCCCGCCGGGCTGTTTGGCAACCTGGTCAAGCCCGGAGACCAAAGGCCTTCACTCCGAGGGCCCTGCTTGTGTCCCCCGGACCAGGAGGGACCATGCCTCGGTCTTCACAGCCCTTGGTGGCCTCCAGGAATTCTGCCAGGGCCTAGCAAGCAGCGACTTTCTCTTCCTGTCTTCTCAGGCCAGCAATTAAGAAGCCTCCAAGCTTGCCCAAGCCTCTGGGTGACCGAGGACGATGTGAGCTGCCCGGTGGCAGCAGGGCCGGCGCAGCAGGAGACACATCCCACGCCAGCTGTGCCTGCCAGTGTGGTGCTTGGTGGCAGGTGGATGACAAACCTGGACACCCGCTGTCCAAACCCAAAGCGGGACTGCACAGCAACACCGGCCCAGCAGAGCAGGGGCCTGTGCCTCTGTCCAGAGCAAAAGAGACAAGGATTGGGTACGGGACCTCTGGGCCTCAGTGGCTGAAGAGAGCGTCCCAGTCCACAGCGGAGGTGGGAGCACATTTAGCCCAGGGCAGTTAAGCTAAAATGTTTTAAGTAAAAAAAAAAAATGTTAAATGATATGACTAATAATCTCACCAGGCAGCAAGGGAAGGGGGGAATGGAAGCGGAGCACAGCTCGGCAAGAAAGCACCGACAAGAATATCCTGGGCCCACAGGAATAGTGAGCAGGAGGAGGCCAGGAGGAGCCAGCAGAAAGAGCAAAGGGGAGGAACTGAGGCAAGGGGCATGGGCAGTGGGAGCAGGACGGGAGGAGGCAGCTGGTCCGCAGCACACACAGTGCCACCAGCCTGAGGGCGCTGGAAAGGCCTGGCCGTCCTGAGGCCACCGCAGACTGCCCCAGGGCAGGGCACCCCTCAGAGCTGCGTGACTCTCAGGCCACAGCATGGAGGCTCCAAGGTGACCCCAGTCACACACTGCCCCTCTCCCTCCAGCGCCCCCACCTGGGCCTCACTCTTCTGCATCCTCGAGAGAACAGCGCGAATCCCAGGTGCTCACCTCCTGAAGTCCCAAGGCAGGCTGGATTCCCCTACGCCACCCAGAACAAAAACTCCATCCCAGAGGACAGACCAGCTGGTCTTCCTCAAACACCCCTTCCCAGGCTGTCTGATCTCTGCCCGGCCCGACACGCCAGGCATGTCAGGCCCCATGTCTTGGCACATACTGTTCCCTCTGCCATGATGTCTTTCCCTGACCTTCAGAGCAAACCCGACCACCTGCACCTCCTCTGTGGTGATTCTCCAACCTTTCTACCCAGACTTCCCCTCTCAATCCAGCTCCCTTCACACTGTGGAAGGAGTGCGCTTCCAGGGCCAAAGGCAGTCTTGGTGCCCTTTGAGCCCACCAGCCACATACACTGTTCTTGGCAGACAGGCTGCACTTAGTGTCTGCAGGAGGAGCAGGGGAATGCAGGAGTGGTGGTCCAGACGCCGCTTCGGGGCCAGGCCCGGAGGGCAGGAAACAGAGGCACTCACAGATGGGAGGTCTCAATCAGATAGGAACCCAGGATGCTGCCTAATGTGTAAAAGCTATCGCAGACTGACCTGAGAGCGACATGCAGCCCGGAGGGTTATGGGATTCAATAGGGAAGGAGTGACAAGGAGCGCCCCCCCCCCCGGGGACCTACTCCAGACCAGCACCCCCACAGGCCCAGGGGCCCTCGGGCACTGCACACACACTGTCTTCTTGGGTTGGTTTGGGGTTTTCGGTTTGTTTTGCTGTCGCTGTTGTTGTTTTCCTAGAGAACTGTCCCTCCAGCCACCTGTGTTCTGGAAGGCCTTGTAGCCGAGCCTGTTCCGGTGCGGGGCCCTGCTGACCTTCCCCTCCCAGCAACTGTGAGTGAAGCAGCACCGCATGGAACTGCAGAGCCCACACGTGGGACAGCGGGGAGTGGCACTCAGATTCGGCTGCTGCCCTCACTCGTCCTGCAGCTGTTGCCAGGTTCCTTGATGTCGCCGAGCCTCAATTTCACAGCTGGGAAATGAGGGCATTTTTACCTCTGAGAGACTGTTTCAAGGGTAGCAGGAGAGTGGGGAACGTTATAGACCCGGGACGGTGTCTGACACCACGGGGCAGTGGATACGGAGGTCCTGTCTCCTCCTTATTACTGGCACAGAAACTCCCCTAAGTGTCCACTTTGACCAAGGGTCAGCAGGTGGCCTGGCTGACCCCAGCCCTTTATTCCCGCTGCCATGGCTTTGCGCACCTGACACCTGTCCCGCAGCTTGCTTTGGTGCATCCCAACAACACACTTTACTCGTTTGTGCATTCACACACTCAAGTATCCACACACTCAATCACACACTCAGATATCCACACACACACCACCAACAACCACCGGAAACCGCACATGCCGGGCACGGAGCTCAGCGCCTGAGGAAGGGAACGAGGTGGAGCTGTCCCGGGCAACACACAGACAGGAAAAGGGACAGGGAGGCTGGGCCAGATTCTGGTGGCTGACCTCCAGGCCTGGTTCACCCTCCACAGCACAGCATTCATTTCCCAGGGCTGCCGTCATGCAGCGCCACCAATGCAGCGGCTAGAACCACAGCGGTGTGTTCTCTCACAGCCATGAAGGACAGAAGTAGGAGAGCAAGACTAGGCCTGGGTGCTGCTCTCCACAGCCTCCAGAAAGAGCCTTCTTGGCTCTTCCGGTTCTGGAGGTTCCAGCGATCTGGTGCTCCTTGGCTCGAAGCCGCCTCTCTCCCTCTCTGCCTCAGGCCTCACACCCAGCCTTTTCTTCTTTATCTGTCATTTCCCTGAGACACATGGTCTCATCTGGAGCCTTCATTACACCTCAGTTCCACCTACGATGGCTCTATTCCAAATAAGGCCATGTTCTGAGCTCCCAGGTGAGCATGACCGAGTGAAGGCACAACCCGACCCCTACAGATACTGTCTCCCACAAGAAGGCTTTTGCTTGGGCCTTCATCCCACACTGTTTGGCTGGGCCACCAGGACACCAACTCCCCCCATCACTCTCAGTTCATCAGGGCATTTTGTGGGCAAGGACCGCATCTCCCTCTCTGGATCCCCCACTCCTGGTATGGGGCCGACACTGAGATGATGTCAGGAAACATGCATAAACTAAGCTAGACCCTTGCACAGCGTCTAGCAAGGTTTTAAGGGACTCCAAGGACAAAAGACCAACGTGCAGAAGACATGGCTTCTAAGCACAAATGGCCAATAAGTACCTGAAAAAATGTTTGACATCTTTAGCCATTAAGGGCACGAAAATCAAAACAACTTTGAGATTGCATCTTACCCTGTTCAGAACAGCTTCATCAAGATTACAAAAAACGGTAACTGTTGGGGAAGTGGGGAAGGTGGAGGAAGAAACTTCCTACTTTGATAGTAGAA